GATCCAGTTTCGAAAACATTATTGACTGCTTACGGGATCGTTCACTCGAATTGCTCATTTCATTTGAATAGCTTCATGTTTCCGAGCGGTCGTCCGTCGCAGTGGTTTGTTGTGATGGAAGGGGCTAGGCGGCCTTAGAGGGACCGTTTTTTCTTCTTACTAAGCAGAAGAAAATAATTTGCTTAGTATGTTTTAAAAAAAAGCAACGGATATCGAACTAACAATGCTTCAGAACGTGGCCATTGCCGTTATTGACCGTACAAACAGAGTGTCTACTACCTTGAAAAACCTGCAAATACCACGAAAACCGGTAAGCCACAATTAATTTTATTCTTCCTGGAAAAACCAGGAATTCTTTGGGAATTTTGAAATTCTCGTATAGTACGCCAAGGAAGTTTCTCAAGAATTTCAAAACATTTTAAAATATAACCAAATTTTTTGTCCTCGTACTTTTTCTCTTTGAACATACTAATTCTGGGGTGGATTTATCTTCAGTAACAACATAAATTCCGAGGGGGGCGACACATCTAAATCTCAATTCTAGATGCTCAAAAAATCTCACACTAGCGAATCAATCTTCGAAAAATCATCTTTCATTTCTCGCATCTACTTGCATCGTGCTTCATCTTTTTGCAGGAAATCTTAAAAATCGACATAAATCTTCCTTCTATCTACTCAGCGTGCGTGCAGCTAGCCACAGCAAAACACAATCTTTTCTGCATCGTAGATAGAGTCACCCCCTCGATAAATTCTCAAACTATACACATTTTAAACTAAGAAAAAATTTTGAATCCCAGGTTCTAATAAAATCAGACGTGGAGAACTTTTCTAGAATCTGGAACGAAATTAAATATTAAGACGTCGGACATTGAATGTTTTCCAAGAGCCCAGATTTAAAAACAAAATAAGGGCCTTGCAAAAGTTTCTCAGCTTATGGACTTTAATGAATGCAGTTGATGAGAATTTCCATGAAACTCGAGGGATAATTTCAAGGGAATTCAGAGGATAATTCCAAGGGAAGAAATGTTAGGAAATGAATCTGAAGATTTGAAACTTGAAATGAAGTCTGAGGATTCCTTTCAAGTTAGTTCTGTTGAATTCCAGATGAAACGTAAGGAGAATTCCAAGGTAGTTCTGAGTATAATGCCAAGTTTTGAGTATATAAAGGAAATTTCCTACAGAATTCTGAGGAGAATTCCAAGGTATTTCCTAAAATAATTCTAAGAGAGTTCTATCTAAGGGATTTGTAAGGAGAACTCCAAGGTACTTGTGAGTAGAATTCCAATAGAAGAAGGAGAATCCAAAGGGAATTTTGGAAAGAATTCAAGGAACATTTTGAGGATGATTCCAAAGGAAAATTTCTAACAACGTTTTGAGGTACATTTCAAGGAAAAACTTAGAAGAGTTTCAGTGCTATTCTTGTAATAATTTTAAAAACAATCAAATAAGAGTTCCTAGGTAATTCTGAGCAGCATTTCAAGGAATTTATGGGACTGCTTTTAGGGAATTCTGAGTGTAATTTAGAGGGAATTCCGAAGATAATTACATGGGAATTTTGGGAAATACTTAGTGAATCCTGAGAAGAGTTTATGTCAGGAGAATTCTTTGGGAATTTCCAGGTTATACAACGAACCTTATTAAAAATGTTCAAGGAACTGTAGAGTGAATTATAAAGAGCTTTCTGCGGATAATTTCTAGAGTATTATGGAGCTAATTTTAAGAGAATACCAGAGAGAGTTCCAATGTAAACTCGGAGAAAGTTTTGAGATGATTCTAAGGAAACTCTTGAGAAAATCTCAAAGAAATCCTGCGAAGAACTCCACGAGTATCAAGTTGATACAAACATAGAAATTTTTCCGATTTCTCATGCTTAGAAAAGTTCTCGTGATTCTGGATTTAAAAAAAAATCAAATCTTCAATATTAGGGGATTACATGCAGTCCTCAGATCAATATTCCGGACTTGGAAACATTTTCAACATTCTGGACCATGAGAAACTTTCATGTATCATCTTCTTATTATTCTTATTCTTCGCATTTCAAGTTTATTGCTTATCGCATATTAGCTTATTGCGTGCTCTCAACTTAGTGTTCTAAATGCACTTTCACAGTTATTAAATAGTTGAGTGCTTTCGATGTCAATACACGGCCATTGAGATCAACCCAAATTTGAGTTCAGTGCACACATAAATCGCAAAAAGAGCAGGAACTCAGCGATGAGTAAATTTGCCTCATGGGTTTCCAGATTTTTTCAAGAAAAAAATCCCGAATATGAGAAAAGTAAAGATTGGATTCTCTCAGTCTATTCGTCAATTTTCCTAATTTTCCCGCAGATGTTCGTGGCATGAGGCAAATTTACTCATTGCTGAGTAATGCACCTGCACCTTTTGCATTAATGAGTAAACTGAACTCAAATTTGGGTTGATCTCATTGGCCGTGTACCAATGTATACATTTTGTATATTCTATGCCAAGCACAATGGTACTCTCTATGCCCAGGGAAGTCGAGAAAATCAAAAGTTTCCCTCGACCGGACCGAGAATCGAACCCGCCGCCTCCGGCTTGGTTATACCGTGCTTTTACTGACTAGGCCCCAACAAGAAATCGTTTTTGGCTTTGAATTGAAAATGTAGAATATTATATTTCTGTGTTAATATCAGTATTTGGTATCAAAGAACTGAAGTTAAACAACGAAACACCCAAAATTCGCTTTTTTCACCATAAACAACATCAATCTCTTTAGGGTGCCCATTTACCTCCACCTCCCCTAAGCAAACGTTCGGCCATTTTGCATCATGGATTTTTTTTTTCAAGATGGCGTTTTTGACATTTTTAAATTAATTGTAGCACGAAAAGGTCGTGTCTTCTGATCAAAATGACGTCTGAGACAAAGTTGTTGAGAAATGTAAAATTTTCAAAGACGCCATTTTGGGAAAAAAGAATTACTAGATCCAAAATGGCCGAATTTTTGCAAAAATGTGAATGATTCTTATAATTCCCAGATAATTAGACGGAAAATTGCACAGTTCACACTTTTCAATTGTCAAGTTTGATGAGGAATACGCAGTACGATAAAATGTTATATCATTTCAACCATTAAACGGGACAAAATCGGTATTGTAATCTCCGGCAACTGATGGCTTAAACTTTTATTCGGGTCAATATAAAAAAAAAAGATTAGGAAAAATGCGTCAAATTAAACGAAAAGGTAATCAAACGAAAGAGTAACAATTGCAGAACTGATGTTTAATTACGGCAGAGATCAGAATAGTAGTAGATAGTATTCGCGATATAGATGATGTTCGTTATCGTATTTTAACATACGCAATAGATAGACAGAGAAATTTGGTTGAGTACACGACATTCAGTATGTATATTCCTTAGCCGAATATATGGAGCTGATGTCGTATGAGAGAGGAGAAATCAAAGGAACTGAAAATATAGGATAAACAGATCCGATCAAGAGAAATGTTGACGGTAAATGAAAGTGAAATGAAGAAAGGGCAAACGGGCTAGAATTCAATATTATGGAAAAGTGTCGAACCTGATATGGATCCCTAGCATATGTCATAAACAACTCTTCCACTGTTTCGCGTCTCCCATCCCAATTGGTACTATGTTTGGTATTGTTTTTTATTCGTTTCCTGATCTAGTGCTACATATAGGGGAGAGTGGACACACTTGATCCCCTGTTTTAATATTGGATATATCTCAGAGCTTTACGCACAGGCTCACAGGAAAATATGTTATGTAACTGATGAATTATTGGAGTGAAAAGTAAATTCTAAAAAGTACGTTTTTCTAAAAGATGTCAAACATCGCATTTTGATAATATCCATTCCTAAAAGTGCATATGCAGATTTATTTTTAACCACATCGATGTGTGACCATTCTGGGGCATAGGTCTCCCCATAAGGGTTCAAATTTCCCCTAACTGAGTTTTCAATTTCATATCAAACTGAACAAAAGATCAAATGAAACAGTACCAATTCAATGCTTATAATTGATTCTACTTATTCAAAGCTTTGAGCTGTGAAAATTTGATGTTAAGAATTTTCATGCTGGCTAAAACAAAGTCCCACGGAGCGAAAATATAAGTACTGCTCTCAAAAAAAATATACATTCAACAATCTGACACGCAACTGTCACCAATAACATTACTTTCCGTCTAACTAGACGAAACTTTGTGGCAACTTACCTGAAAAAAGTATATTCTGGCTTTCGATAAAACAGAGAGAGAGAGAGAGATCAAGTGTCCCCAGGGATCAAGTGTGTCCAGTTTCCCTTATAGTCTTTGAGTTCCCCTTCAATAAGTTTTGGTTCCGTTTCTGAGTCGAAACGTCGTCCGAAATTATAACAAACGGATTGCTTTGATAATAACTTCAGTCAAGTCGCCGTAACGTTGCGTAAGTTGGTGTGTGTGAGTAAAGATTAGTCATTCACTGATGGTGATAAGATGTAGTTATTGTGTTGGTTCGTTCGATCAACTCTTTCATTAGTGATGCTGCCTATATTCATTTATACTAGATGGTATGTGGGCAATTCGATTATTGTAATTAGCCGCCTACATGAAGTTTGCTGTTAAATGGAAAAGTACACGGAATATCTTGATTAGTACGTTAAGAAACCAAATGGGGGCACTGTTGACTGTTGTTTCTGTGGTGGTTTTTGTTATACTAATGTACTCTCTTTTGTTTGTGTTTAAGTTGAGTTGTGAACCTACGCTTACGGACGAGATCCATATTGTATGTTTCGTTTTTGCTCGGGGAAGGAAAACTGACATTTTCCTAGGAAGATATTTTTTTTTGTTTCTGTAAAAGGAGTGGTCGAGTATCGTTGGCGCAATTTGTCGTGAGATCCAAATTCTGACTGAATTGAACATTCGTTTAGGATTCGGGTTTGGTTTGTTTGTTGGTAGCTTGTGTAACAGTTTTGTGCTTATACAAATCAAACGGCAATTGAGTTAACACACTTAGGTAGTGAAATCCTGTCGAGTTACTTACCTACAATGATTGCAAGTATAACAAGGCCAATTACACCCATTATTATCATCATCTAAAAAAGAAAGTATTGTGGTTATTAATCGACTAATTTTAACGAGGGTGTAATGAAAGGTAGCATCATCAACGTGATAAGTTTGACCGCATTCTAAAAATGATACATTTTTGCATGCATCCCTACTTAACTTCTTATAACTGAACTGGACCCATTCAACTCGTTCCTACTTACTTTTAGGTTCTGCAGCCAGAATTTCCTCTTCAGTTTGCCGGCTTGCTGTTCGAACTGTGAGGCTCCCTGCTGCAGGGCGTCGGCTCGGTCGTCTAGTTCCGTCAGTTTCTGATCTCTCTCCAGCACCTTTTCGACATTCGTTTTCATGATATCCACAACCTGCGAGGTGGGTGGGTGGGTGGTGAGAAAAATGGAAAAGGTTAGTCAATTAAAAATTAAATATGATTCTCGTGGGGGAGGTGGCAGAAATTTGCCTTCGATACTTACCTCATCTACCTGTGCCTGTGTCTGTTGCAGTCGCTTCTGTGCAGCGATCTGCTGGGGAGTCCTTGGTCCGCCGACAATTCCATCTGCTCCAGGTTCTCCCGCTGCGCCCGGTGCGAGTCCGTCTGGAGCTGACCTGTGAGTATTCAAAAGAGGAAAGAGGAAGAAATATCGGAGAGGAAAATAATATAAACCCCAGAATTAGTAAGCTGTCCTGTGCCTGCATTTCATTGTTGGTTATAATTAACTTGAAACGATACAAACAGAGAAATTCCAAAAATAAACGCAACGGCGTGGAATCATAGCTATATCAACTAGAATTGATATGAATTCAACTCGAAATCAATAATCGGATAAGGTGGGAGCAGCAGAGCTGTGCTTTTGGTGTGGTGTCCACTCCGACGGGACACTGACTCTAACCTACACTCACTGTTGGTGATAAGAAGGGGGTTGAAGAAAAATAATATCAAGTTTTTTGGAGCACGCTTTCTCCTTCTACTTCTTCGGTTTTTGATTCAATCGATGCCTCTTTTTCGTTCTGCAGTCGGTCGAAGCTTGCTTTGTTCAATCGTTTGGTTCAAAATTATGCAAGTAGGCGTCGAAAGTATTGAATGACTGAACTTGCTGGTACTGGAAAGGGATGTGGAATGTGGGCGGATGAGATGAAGCAGCAGAAGCATCATCATCATCATCAGCAGCATCAAATCACCGCCCACGTATGCTAAATTTGGTTTCGTAGGACTTGTGAAAACATACGCCAACACAGTTTGCATCATGTAGGATGATGTAGTCGACGGTAATTTAAGTGCAGTGGAAAATTCCGTTTGAACAACTTTATTTCAACCATACCTGTGTATCAAGTCATCAGATAAAGCAGACACAGGAGAGGTGCATAACTTATGACTCCACTTAAGAAATGTACCAGTTATAGCCATGAAGTTTACAAGGAGTAGTGCAATAAACAGTACTATCACAGACAAACAGACACAACACTCGCAAGTTGTTCATCGAACAAGCATTTAACGGTAAATTTAAATGTATCGTAGTTGGTAGTACCGCCACCTCTCCCTTGCGTTTGACGTTCGCATACTACCGCCATCTGTTCAGCGTACTGCCCACCACAGTGTACTCAACAGATGGCGGTAATGTTTTAGCGACGATGTTTTACAGTGAGATATAATAAATTTGTTCTGTTTGTCTGTGGTACTCTTACGTATGAGCAAAGATGACCTAATCCAAAAAGATGCACAACTCTCACGATCCACGAATAGCGCCGCCGGGATGGAAAACTCTACTAGTACACTGTTAATATTGTGCCTGTAAAATGTCAAACTGAACTTCAAAATCATCTGACCGACCGGTTACACGTTGCCTCCCCCAAGCAAGTGGAACAACTTATTCACGAATAAAATCAGTCTCAAGATGGCCCAATGCAATTTCAGCACATCGCCTTCAATAGGCCTCGACGACGAGGAAGCGCTCAATGGTCGATAGGAACACTTCAGTTCCAAAGTTTCAAGTCTCCCAACAAACGATCATAATCTTCGAACCAGTGGGAATGACGCTCTTCAAATGCTGTTTTTGCACACCACTTAACATTCCACTAGCAATAGAAAATCATGGTAAGCCCAAGGCAATGAGTTCATCTGTCTTTTCATCGGTACCTGCAGGAACATTCTTTTGGTTTTGGTGATTCGTTGAACTCTTTCGGTCCTGGACTAAGTAGGCGAATTATAGTAGCTATCTGGGTACTGTGAAGTTGAACGATTTTATTTTGCAAACTAATGGAAAACGGCTTGAAAATTCGTCCAAGTTTAAAACTGATTTGCTCCTTCTCAGTTGATTCCCGCTAAAAGCTCTGAGCCAGGAGTGCTCGAGCCCCCATTACTCTATCAAAGTTTGTTTACCTACATGTTTCGCCAAAGTATGTTTTAATGCAATTGAAAACTCAGCTGAGTAAGAAAATCAGCTGAGTATACTTTCATAACTATTGGTTTTTGCCTTTGTGCTTATGAAAAAGTATGAATTATTTTTATGAGATTACAATGCATTTGTTGCTTCTGAATGTTTGGCTCCCGTTTAACAGTTCACACTGGCTCACAAGTTACAACAAGCACATTGAGTGAGTCCGCATCACCTAGGTGGAATGTGGAATGAAGCAAGTGAAGGCGGTTTCACTTATCAAAATCAAACCCGAAATATTCATCAATGAACAATGACGTTCCGTTGTTTGCAAAGCATTTTCTTCTTTCCAAATTTTCACGGCCTTGTACGATTTTGGTTAAAATCTATTACTTTTTTAGTCTTTTTCTCAACAGATGGCCGGAAATGTTGTTATCAAGATGTCCTCACGTGAAATATATGGGAGAATTTTTAAGTCAGTAATCTTTTTGCTTTATGTTATCTCCGGTATGAGACAGTACCACAGAGAACAGACGTTGAGGCTCGAACAATATTTCTGTAAAAACTTGTGTAAAGATTCCTATTCAACTTAAGCGCTACTAACGGCGACTTCCCCACTTAAAAACTCTCTTTGGCAACCTGAAGGCGTTGCATAAATTACACTAGACACTAAGTGCTGGTAGCGCCAAGTGGCTAATTTCAACAGAAAATTTATTGGTGGTAGCGCCAAATTGGTCGAAAGTGGAAAATTTATAGAGGAAACCAGGAAATGCTAGCGCCACGTAACGGCGATGTTCCCACTTATTTTACACAAGTTTATGACCGAAGTTGGACGTCTATTCTCTATGATAGTACCATAACTGGTGCACTGGCCATAACTTGAACATCTACTCTAACTGCAGAAATTCGGTTTTCACCGAGATTTTCACGATTACAACTACAAAAACAAGTAGTAAGTATTCATTTTTGAACAACAAATACTCATAAATGGGTAATATTTTTAATCATTTAATGGGTAGTCCCAGTATGCCTCGAAAATGCTTACTTTGTAGTCATTATTGGGTATTTTGCGGTTACCGTATAAAGTGATTCATCGCGGTGGACAAAAAAAAACAGAATTCAAACTGATCTTTGCATTAAGTCCTGAGTAACATTGATCGATTCTCTTCGTCGGCTTTCTCTTTCGTTAATAACTTATTCACAGAACCGTTTCTTGATGTGTTTGTCGTATTGGATGCTAGATAAAAGCTTCTTTTATCGATTTATGTGCTGAAAATACCTGGGAATGTCTTTACATGACCGTCGACGAAGAGAATCTGTCAAAGTTACTTAGGACCTAATGCAATGTTCAGCTTGAATTGTACTTATTTCGTACCGTTGGTTTCATAAGCTGTGAGATACCAATTCTTATGTAAAAAAATGAGAAATCGAATGCCGCTAGTTTTGCCTTGAGCAGACTACCAGAAGTGCCCTATTTGGCCCGTTTCTCCCCAATTTCAAGCAAAATTGGCTGTTGTTTGGCTTTATATGCATTTGCCGGTGATCTACAGCCGTACAATGCAGTGAATGTAGTAGAAAGCTTTGCTGGTCAATCAACTACAACTAGTCTCACGCTGTACAGACCAAGTAAATAGCCCATTTGGCACCATTTTCCCCATAAATCATGATTTAACTTCCGACATAAAGTACACCTATTCCTACACGGGAAAAAAAAAATGCGTTCCGAACCAGCAAAGACAACCAAAGTCATAGAATCGTGAACTCTGTTCTGAAAATCATGATCAAGTTCTGGTAAACGTGATTTATGTTCATGAGTTGTTCTTGATATCGTGAACCTGTTCTCGAAAACGGGATTGCATCATGTTTCCATGGACTGTAAAATGTCAACATTTAAATGATTTTCAATATTTTAAATGAAGTGAAGAAATTGAAGGAAAACAACGGAAGCTTTGGTGTAGGTTCCACCCACACCCCAAACTGGTATCAGGCAGCAGATAAAATGGCGAGAGCAAGAACACCAGATGCGTTCTCCTCGTTGGGTCCTTTTCTTCGAGGTTTACGGCCAGTTTGATGACTCGTCCCAGCCACTGGTATTGTGTCGGACCACCTTCTGATGATATGTCAAATGTCAAACATTGTACTCAAAATGATTTTAAAAAATTTCCCAGAAACACGTTGTTTTTCTAAGCGTCATTTAGGCTCTGAACCATTTGGCGATTTTTTTTTAACTTTTGGTTAAAATTTGATAGATGGAAAGTTATCGATTAACCTTGCTATCCGAGCAGGGTTATTTCTGACAGACAAGAAGTTAAATTTTGACGACCGTGGCTCAAAAACCGGTCGATCGACAGCACGGGGATTTTCGAACATAAGAAATAACTTTCGAAATGTCATTTTTAACCACGAGTTAAATTTAACTCAGCAAATGGTTCACAGCCTTAGTTCGCGTTTGGTTTTCAACGTTAGCAGTTGTGCACTGTGTGCGCATTTTTTCTTCCCTTTGCTTGCTGCTTGCTGGCGTTCTGCTCAGCGTTGCCAGATTGTTTTAAAGTTTATCGATATCAAAGTTTTTAAAAAATCGGTATTTATCGGTATTTACTATATTATTTTATTTTATATTTTAGCTGTTTTTGAAAGTGAAAATTTTAACGTTTGGACTATGATCGAAAAATGCTGAAAGAAAATTCCGGGGAATGTTTGAATTAGCTTCTGAAGGAACATCTAGATAAAGAAGAAAGAAGCTCTTGTAGAAGAAATTTGAGGAAAATTCTAAGAAAAGTTGGAGAAACATCCGGAAACTACCAAGACAAGAATTGAGGAGCTTCTAGTGAATATTAAAAGTAACCATCGAACAAAAAAAAAGATCGGATGTTACATCCAAAGGAAGAAAAGTTTCGGAAAATAGAAGTAAATTCCAGAAGTAGGCAGTTCTAGAGGAAACCAGAAGAAGCTCGGAAAAACCTTCCAATAAAAATCGAAAACCTATGGCTTATGGACACACTTCCAGAAGAAGACGGAAGAAACTTCCTGAAGACGCTGGCAGACACTTCCTAAGGTAGATTGCAAGAAACTTCTGGAGAAATTCGGAAGCCAGAGCGCCTATGGAACAGTCGAATGAAACAAGGACATAATTCCGGAAGAAAGAGATTTCTGGGGGATGTTCTAATGATCCAGCAAATTTTCCTGATATTCATAAAACATCCCTGAAGTTTTCGGAACATTTCTGAAATGCAC